TAAATAAAGATTACTTACTTACTTACTTACATTCATTCCTTCAACTATAGGCTGTTTAAGCCACAGTATCTGCAGAACATTATGAATATGTTTAGCAGTGTTTAGCAGTGAGTTCAGTGAGTGACAGGTTGGCTATGTATTGAAACGTAAAAAAGAATACTAAAAAAACAAAAAGATATCATGATAGATTTCTCATACAATGTACTTGTTTTCATTGGACCAAACCGCTGTGAATAACTTTTCATTCGCAGCCTTTGAAACCTCCCGTTATATTACCCCAAATGCCCTTTGCATTGTGTTTCGGATGATTACAAACCTTTAAAGGAATCATTCCCAAAATGACCTGGTGCTCTCTGGTATGTTGTGTGAGCGCTGTTCTAACTTCAAAACAAACGGGCTTTTTACAAGGGCCAGACCTTACACCGAGAAGACAAGAATAAACCAGGTGTATGTGACGTCAAATGTATTAATCGCGGAGGTGGAATGGTAGTTTATTTGGTGATGGGGCGTAGCTGCTCTCTGGTGCATGTGAGAATATAATGTACTATTGTTGTTCAGGAGCAGGCGCTGGAGTCAGAGCCAGAAAACTTGTTATGTACTTTGTATGCACCTACTTCATTTATCTGTAGGTTTTGATTCACCAAAGACAGTTTTTCTAGTCAAAAAGAAGAAGAAGAATGAAGACATATTATTTATTCATCACGCTTCACGCAGGACTGAAACTCAATGCACTGTAGAAAGACAATGTCACTGATGTTTGACGTTATGAGGGCTAAACAGTAAGTTTTTAGTTTACTCTCGCATGAACATATTTAATATTCTTAGGTAGAACAGTCCATTTATAGGGAGCGAAAATGTGAAAAAGTACAGAGAGAGAAAAAATACAATACCATTAAGTTCAAGTTATTTTTGTATAGCCCTAAATCTCAGCAGTAGTGATCTCAAAGGACTTAAAACAAAAACAGAGACTTGATTACACACAGGTGCATTCTATTTATCATCATCAGTCATTTAGGACAACATTGGATCATTCAAAGATCCTCACTGAACTTCTGGACTGAGTTTGCTGCACTGAAAGTAAAGGGGCCGAATAATATTGCACGCCCCACTTTTCAGTTTTTTATTTGTTAAAAAGGTTTAAATTATCCAATAAATTTCGTCCACTTCACAATTGTGTCCCACTTGTTGTTGATTCATGACATAAATTTTAAATGTTATATCTCTATGTTTGAACCGCGGAACGTTGCTTACTGGATGAGTTTCAGACGGACCGATTGTACTGGAGCGCCAACTGAGCTTTTTGACTTTTCTTGTTCAAAAGTACATTATAACAAGCATAGACCAACTTTAGCGGTGTCTAAACCCCAGTGAGTTAGAGACGGGAAAGAGCACTGTGTGTGGAGCAGCGGACTCTGTGTGTGAGGAGGAGCAGCGAGCGACTCCTGTGAGCAGAGGTAAAGGAGGCGGCGGAGGAGGAGGAGGAGCAAGACACAGGTGTGTTGCACACATCAAAAACGTATTATAAAAGCTTTAGCAAACAGCACATGCCCAGCTTTAGTGCTCACTGCGAGTGCAGAGGATTTTGGGCATAAAAAGTCTGTTGCAGTTAGAGTGTGTGGAGGAGGAGGAGGAATAGGAGTGTATGTTGTTGACAGAGTGTGTTGAGGCAATGACAGGAACGTTATTGGATGGGAAAGTCTGATCCCCTTATCATCCACAATGAACATGTGTTGCTTAAGCTTATGTATTCAGTCATTACTCAATGGTAAACTAAAAATCCATGTGAAAAAAATTACTTCTCACTGTTCTCAGGTCAAATATCTATATGCGATTAAAATGCGATTAATTGCGATTTATTAATTACAAAGCCACTAATTAATTAGATTCATGTTTTCAATAGAGTCCCAGCACTAATATAAACACATAATAATAATAATAATAATGCATTGGTTTTATATAGTGCTTTTCGGGACACTCAAAGATGCTTTACATTATTTAATCATTATTATTTAACCACCAGCTGAATCTTCGGTTGTTAGAAGAAGACACATAAATGATAATACAGGCGAACTGTTCATGGGGAGGGTAAACTTTGAGAACACGTTGTGTGTTACTGTAGATGAATTACTTGATTCTGTCACCACCACTGTTTTGAATGTTCTGGATACAATTGCTCCTGTAAAGGTTAAAATAGTTACAAACAAGCAAAAAGCGCCATGGACTAAAGCAGACTCGGTCAGGGCACAGAAGAGAGAGTGCCGGAAGGCCGAGCGGAAGTGGCGAAAGTCAAATCTCAAAGTTGACCATGAGATCTTCAAAGATGCGTTGTGCAATTTTAACAGGGAACTACGTAGAACGAGGGAAATGTACTTTTCTGAAACTATTGAAGGCTGTAGCAACAATCTACGTGTTCTGTTTTCAACAGTAAATAGATTGACGAATCCCCCTGTTAAGATGCCATCAGAACTTACTTCCAAATCTAAATGTAATGAGTTTGCTCAGTTCTTTAATGACAAAGTCCAAGGTATCAAAAACGCCATCACCTCCACGATAGAAATAATAATCCAACCGCCAATGAGGCTTTTTGGGCTGACGCACTTTACACCAGTACAAATTGAAACTGTCCAGGAGATAATCACTAGTCTGAGTTCCTCCACATGCAGCCTGGATGTATTACCTCCTAGATTTCTCAAGTCAGTTCTGAGCAGTCTTTTACCTTCACTTACACAAATAGTTAATATGTCTCTTGAATCTGGAACATTCCCAATGGCCTTGAAAACGGCGGTCATCAGGCCCCTCCTAAAAAAGAGGAGTCTGGAAGCCCTGGCACTCAAAAATTATCGGCCCATTTCAAATCTGCCTTTCATGGGAAAAATTCTAGAAAAAGTTGCCTATAAACAACTTACAGAATTTTTAATAATCAATAACGCTTATGATATCTTCCAGTCAGGGTTTAGACCCCACCACAGCACTGAGACCGCGCTAATAAAGGTAACAAATGACATCAAACTAAACACTGACGCAGGAAAAGTCTCAGTCCTTTTTCTGTTAGATTTAAGTGCTGCTTTTGACACTATTGATCATGGCATCCTCATTCAGAGACTTGAGGACTGGGTTGGTGTTGCTGGCACCGCCCTAAGCTGGTTTAGGTCCTATTTACAAGACAGAAAGTTTTTTGTGGAGATCGAAAACTGTACCTCAGACCACTTGGCCCTGACCTGCGGAGTGCCACAGGGGTCAATCCTGGGTCCTCTTCTGTTTAATATTTACATGTTGCCTCTAGGTCAGTTGATTCACAGTAATAATGTCTCTTATCACAATTACGCTGACGATACTCAGGTCTATGTGTCCCTGACAGCAGGAGAGCATGAACCAGTGGACTCGCTCCTTCACTGTGTCCAGCAAATCGGTGATTGGATGCAAAATAACTTTCTCCAACTAAACACCGACAAAACTGAAATAATTGTTTTCGGACCCCAGAAACAAAGAGAGAGCGTTATTTGTCACCTCAAGGCTCTCTCTCTACAACCCTCAAATCAGGTCAGAAATCTAGGAGTGATAATGGACTCAGACTTAAATTTCAAAAGCCACATAAAATCTGTAACATCAGCAGCTTATTACCACCTAAAAAACATTGCTAAAATTAAAAACATAGTGTCTAAGGCAGACTTGGAGACTCTTATACACGCTTTTGTCTCCAGTCGGTTAGACTATTGCAATGGCCTGCTCACAGGTCTGTCCAAACAGGCTGTAAAACAGCTGCAGTACATTCAACATGCAGCAGCTCGAGTCCTGACCAGAACTAGGAAGTACGACCACATTAGTCCAGTTCTCAGGTCTCTGCACTGGCTTCCTGTTCCTCAGAGAATAGACTTCAAAGCAGCTTTACTTGTGTACAAGTCTCTCCATGGTCTCGCGCCAAGGTACATCCATGACATGTTTGTGCCATATGAACCGACCCGGACTCTGAGGAGCACAGGGACTGGACTCCTGTTAGTGCCCAGAGTCGGTACTAGACATGGGCAAACTGCATTTCAGATTCATGCGGCTAGAGTCTGGAACCGTCTTCCTGAGAATGTGAGACAGGCGTCTACTCTGGCATCTTTTAAATCTAGGCTCAAAACAATTCTGTTTAGCTGCGCAAATACAACTGAATGATTTTATCTTTTCATCTTTGTTTTTATCTTTAATCTTTTTAATGCACTGTGACTATTTATGATTTTAGTCCCATCTGTGATTTTAATGTTTAAAGGTTTTTAATTTTTGTGATTTTATTTTTAATGTTTTTAATATATCTTGTGCTCTTAATGTGTTTGATTTATGCATGATGTGATAGGGGATGTGAAGCGCTTTGCGTTGCCTTGTGTAGGAAAGGCGCTCTACAAATAAACGTTGATTGATTGATTATTATTTGTTCACTTAAAAAACTGTGGTGATAAATTACTAATGTAGCCATAGCTGCCCTTGGGCACACTGACAGAAGCGAGGCGACCAGCGTATGCTATCGGCGCCTCCGACCACCACCAACCATCTACACATACAGTACACACCAGACTCATTCTAGGAAATGTGGGTGAAGTGTCTTGCCCAAAGATACAGCAACAGTTTGGCATTTCAAAGCCGCTGTGGTACCTGTTGTTCCCAGAGGTCTCCCATCACAGTACTAACCAGGCCCTGCCTTGCACAGCTTCAGAGGTCTGCAGGTATGGCCATGTAGAGCCATTGGTCCATAAGAGGCTGATGACCAAAGTCCATAAAAGTGGTAGAATGTGGAGTCTCCTGGATCATCGCCAGTAAAGCAGTAAAAAGGACGTGTTAATGATTTTGATGTAGTTATTGATCATTGAAACAGGACATGTACATACAGGACGTTTGTCTCTAGTTTCCAGTTTTTCAGAAGCTTTGTGTACAGAACAAGTTTAAAAGTGGAACAGACAGAGATAAGATATTTGGCGCTGAAGTCCTGTTTGAACTGTGCAAAGTCTGAACGCCAACTGCACATGAAGCACCTCCCTCACCGCAGCAGTGACTCCTCTCTGCACATGAAGCACCTCCCTCACCGCAGCAGTGACTCCTCTCTGCACATGAAGTACCTCCCTCACCGCAGCAGTGACTCCTCTCTGCACATGAAGCACCTCCCTCACCGCAGCAGTGACTCCTCTCTGCACATGAAGCACCTCCCTCACCGCAGCAGTGACTCCTCTCTGCACATGCTTATTGCTGCATGCTCTGATCTATATTGGGAATCCTCATCCGCATCTCCAGAGGAAGTGAAGAGACTTTCGAATGGCGACACAGTATTACTCAATTGTTCCACTTTAGAAAGGATATTCTGCAACAACCAAAGTTTGCTGATCTTTCATTTCCAGAGAAGACATGTGAACAGGCACAATGAGGCACATTTCTTTGAGCAAAAGACCACCAACCTTGAAAACATTAGTATGACAGAACTACTAGAGCTTTATTCAATAATTTCCTGTAAATGCAACGTTGCAATATTGGCTCCTCCCAAAACGCTGAAGCTCAGACAAACTCTGCAACACTTTCCTCATCCATCCCTCATTCTTAATATAAATGCTCTTCTTATAATTAGACCTACGTTCTGCTGCTGGGACCTGAAGTGCTGCTGCATTTCATTATTACTATGAATGATCAATTTATTTTGTTTTCTATGGATGTGTTTTTTCTGCTACTGGACACCTGAATTTCTTCTACGGGGATCAATAAAGTATATATCAATCCATCTAGACCTTTCTGTGTCGAAACAGGAGAATTCTCATGTGAGAACATATTGTGCACTTGAGCAACAGCGTCATGCCCATAGAGAAAAAAAAAACAGAGCATTGAACGGAGAAGGAAATACTTGCCAACTTCAGTGTTTGTGTATTTATGAGTTGGTCCAACTTTAGACCACGGTTCCCTGCAGTGAAGGCAGCTGTGGCTGATACATCATCCATGAACTGTGTGACCTGTTGGGAAACGCTCAAGACCAATGTTCACTAATTCTATAGTCACATGTGTTGACAAAGCTTCACTTTACACTTTACGTTTCTGAAATAACCAACCAGCTCAATCAGACTGATGCGTCCAAATAATGAAAACATGCAGTGATTGTCTTCTGTCTCTTGAACTTGTTTTTCACTTCTTTTCCTTCTCAAACATGTTTTTATCACATCTTAGAATCTTAATTAAATCTTTAATATTTGCCTTAATTCCGCAGACACCATCTAAAGCATTATCTCGAGTTTTAAACTTTCATTGAACCAATGCTGACTCATGTGAGTGAAGTCTTTTCTGAGGGAAGAAATTATGAAATCGAATACTTCCTGATTTTGTAGATATTGCATCATGTGCAAATGATTCATGATTCTTACAAATGTAGAAATAATCTCTGATTTGATGACTTTTGATTGAATTCCTTATTAGATGTGAGAAGATGCACGGTTGTGTAATGTGTGTTTTATGGTATTCTCGGTCTATAATCCTTGCTGTAGTTTTTAAAAAATCCTTTGTGGACATAATGGAAGCTTTCTTCCTTGGAGCTACTGTCTACAATCTGTGTTTTCAACTTAAGGTTCTACTTCTAAGTTATTTACTATTTTTATTTTCATGCCCATTTTTAATGTGATGTATTTTGAGAACATGTCCTGACTTCCCAGGTCCATAAGAACAAAGCCGCCTTTGAGCTGCACAGGCCTCTGTGTCACCGCCGCCGCAGGTGAGGGGCACCTGCACCTCCCTCTCATCCTCTCTTCCTCTCATCCTCTCTTCCTCTCATCCTCTCATCCTCTCATCCTCACATCCTCTCATCCTCTCTTCCTCTCATCCTCTCTTCCTCTCATCCTCTCTTCCTCTCATCCTCTCATCCTCTCATCCTCGCATCCTCTCATCCTCTCTTCCTCTCATCCTCTCATCCTCTCATCCTCACATGCTCTCATCCTCTCATCCTCTCATCCTCTCATCCTCTCATCCTCACATCCTCTCATCCTCTCTTCCTCTCATCCTCCCTTCCTCTCATCCTCTATTCCTTACATCCTCTCGTCCTCACATCCTCTCGTCCTCACATCCTCTCATCCTCTATTCCTTACATCCTCTCATCCTCACATCCTCTCATCCTCTCTTCCTCTCATCCTCTCATCCTCTATTCCTTACATCCTCTCGTCCTCACATCCTCTCATCCTCACATCCTCTCATCCTCTCATCCTCACATCCTCTCATCCTCTCATCCTCTCATCCTCACATCCTCTCATCCTCTCATCCTCTCATCCTCACATCCTCTCATCCTCTCTTCCTCTCATCCTCCCTTCCTCTCATCCTCTATTCCTTACATCCTCTCGTCCTCACATCCTCTCATCCTCTATTCCTTACATCCTCTCATCCTCACATCCTCTCATCCTCACTTCCTCTCATCCTCTCATCCTCTATTCCTTACATCCTCTCGTCCTCACATCCTCTCATCCTCACATCCTCTCATCCTCTCTTCCTCTCATCCTCTCATCCTCTATTCCTTACATCCTCTCGTTCTCACATCCTCTCATCCTCACATCCTCTCTTCCTCTCATCCTCTCATCCTCTATTCTTTACATCCTCTCATCCTCACATCCTCTCATCCTCCTCTTCCTCTCATCCTCTATTCCTTACATCCTCTCGTCTTCTCATCCTCTCATCCTCTATTCCTTACATCCGCTCATCCTCACATCCTCTCTTCCTCTCATCCTCTCATCCTCTATTCCTTACATCCTCTCATCCTCTCATCCTCACATCCTCTCATCCTCTCATCCTCACATCCTCTCATCCTCTCATCCTCTCATCCTCACATCCTCTCATCCTCTCATCCTCTCATACTCACATCCTCTCATCCTCACATCCTCTCATCCTCTCATCCTCACATCCTCTCACCCTCACATCCTCTCACCCTCTATTCCTTACATCCTCTCATCCTCTCTTCCTCTCATCCTCTATTCCTTACATCCTCTCATCCTCACACCCTCTCATCCTCACATCCTCTCATCCTCATCCTCACATCCTCTCATCCTCACATCCTCTCATCCTCTCATCCTCACATCCTCTCATCCTCTCATCCTCTCATCCTCTCACCCTCACATCCTCACATCCTCTCATCCTCACATCCTCTCATCCTCTCATCCTCTCATCCTCTCATCCTCACATCCTCTCATCCTCTCATCCTCTCACCCTCACATCCTCTCATCCTCTCACCCTCTATTCCTTAAATCCTCAAATCCTCTCATCCTCTATTCCTTACATCCTCTCATCCTCACATCCTCTCGACCTCTCATCCTCACATCCTCTCATCCTCACATCCTCTCATCCTCACATCCTCTCATCCTCTCATCCTCACATCCTCACATCCTCTCATCCTCTCATCCTCTCATCCTCTCACCCTCACATCCTCACATCCTCTCATCCTCACATCCTCTCATCCTCTCACCATCACATCCTCTCATCCTCTATTCCTTACATCCTTTTATCCTCACATCCTCTCATCCTCTCTCCCTCTCATCCTCTATTCCTTACATCCTCTCATCCTCACATCCTCACATACTCTCACCCTCTCTTCCTCTCATCCTCTATTCCTTACATCCTCTCATCCTCACATCCTCTCATCCTCACATCCTCACATCCTCTCAACCTCTCTTACTCACATCCTCTCATCCTCTCATCCTCACATCCTCACATCCTCTCATCCTCTCATCCTCACATCCTCTCATCCTCTCATCCTCACATCCTCTCACCCTCTCACCCTCACATCCTCTCATCCTCTCATCCTCACATCCTCTTATCCTCACATCCTCTCACCCTCACATCCTCTCACCCTCACATCCTCTCATCCTCACATCCTCACATCCTCTCATCCTCACATCCTCACATCCTCTCATCCTCACATCCTCTCATCCTCTCATCCTCTCACCCTCACATCCTCTCATCCTCACATCCTCTCATCCTCTCATCCTCTCACCCTCACATCCTCTCACCCTCTCATCCTCTCACCCTCACATCCTCTCACCCTCTCATCCTCTCACCCTCACATCCTCTCACCCTCACATCCTCTCACCCTCACATCCTCTCCTCCTCTCACCCGCACATCCTCACATCATCTCATCCTCTCACCCTCACATCCTCTCTTCCTCTCACCCTCACATCCTCTCATCCTCATGTCCTCACATCCTCTCATCCTCATGTCCTCACATCCTCTCTTCCTCTCATCCTCTCATCCTCTCACCCTCACATCCTCACATCCTCTCTTCCTCTCACCCTCACATCCTCACATCCTCTCATCCTCATGTCCTCACATCCTCACATCCTCTCTTCCTCTCATCCTCTCATCCTCTCACCCTCACATCCTCTCATCCTCTCACCCTCAAATCCTCACATCCTCTCTTCCTCTCACCCTCACATCCTCACATCCTCTCATCCTCATGTCCTCACATCCTCACATCCTCTCTTCCTCTCTTCCTCTCATCCTCTCATCCTCTCACCCTCACATCCTCTCATCCTCTCACCCTCACATCCTCTCTGCTGCATCTGTTTCTCTGTTGTTTTGTTCGTCTCCTGTTTGTGTTCATGCGCTCATTACCGCCCCACATCTGCACTCAATAAGATGAAGAAAGGCAGTGTAGCAGACGACGAGAGCGGCGAAACGTCAGCGCAAGACTTTATTATGTTTGTGTGTGTGTGGCGCGGGCTGGAGGGGGGGGGCCCAGCTTAACCTTTGACCCCACTCTTCCCCCTGGGTAACCCTGGCCCTTGCCCCCACCTGAACCCGCTTTTACCTCCCATGCCCCCTTCGATTCTGGCGGAGATGGATGAGAAGGAGGTTGACAGGAGATCACACACACACGGCGCCCCTCCTCTGACAAAACAAACGCGCTTTAATCTGTCCCGAGTGACAGGCCACAGCCACCGACCGCACACTGGAGCTGGGAACTGGTTTGGACAGCTCTGAGGCTGACCAGACATCACACTGGTGGAATGTAACGAGGTACACAAGTAATAGTACTCTCTTTGAGACAATTTAGGTATATCTACTAACTTTACTCATGGACATTTTGAGATTGTCAAACCCTTGGGGAGTCCTAACATTTCCGTAGTTAGGTTGAGTTGTCGTTAACTTACTCACTATCGCACCATCTTTTCAATACCGTACAAAAGGATATGCAGCCATTTTTCCAGTAAAAAAAAAAATAACATTTGATTTTTACAATGGCCTATAGTGATGAATGAAGTCTATCTCATATAATAAACTCAGACTTAGACAGACTTTATAGATCCACAAGGGAAATTGAGTTGACACAGTAGTACACAATGAAAATAACAATGAAAACAACAATAAAGTAACTACCTGAAAATAAAAAATAATAATACGATTATATTGTGATATTGTGAGAATAGAATAATAGTCCACTAGAAATAACAATTATGAATTTTGTAAAAAAAACAAAAAAAATACAACACAGTTCATTTATATTCAAGTTCAAGACTGTCTTATGATCTTTTAAAGGGATATTTTCTGGTCTTATTATGTAAACTCTCTACATAATAAACTAAATTACTTCTTTGCACCGCTGGACATCGCCCCCCCCACCACCACGCACCACCCCTCCCGCTCACCCCAGACATTCCTCTTGTTGTCCCAGCGAGCAGTAAATATTTGTCAACAGCCCAGGACATGCCTTTCCCCTCCATACATGCCTTCTTTAAGCACTGTTTGCCCCCTTTTCCCCCCTCCTCGCTCTTAAAGTAAAGAAGTAAAACATGGCCTTTCACTTTTACAACACGATACGCTGGGAATAATGGCGCTGAGGCGGAGGAGGATGTGGAACGCCGTCTAAACAAAAAGGGAGTGGAGGGTCAGTCGATAAGCTCGGAGCTGGCCCAGCCTATGGCCACTGTTTACCCTGCAGACATACCACCGACCCAAAGTCACTTCCTCCCACGCACCACTTACAGACACCCGGGGATGAAAGGCGAGAGGGTGGCGAGGATGGGTTTGGCACCGGGGAAAAAAACCACAGCCCGTTTTTTTTTTTGTTGCCAAGAATCAAAATAAGGATATGATGGGTGTTGCTGCAATTGTCCTAAGTCAGACGAGGAGGTGGGTGAAAAAAAAAAAAAAACAGTGCCACAATCAAACACAACAGTTCATAAGGTCAGATGATAGAGTGCCAATGCTGTTCTATTCTGGTCTAAAACAATTGGTAACCGTGGCCTGTATATACATAAAGCAAACTACCTTCTCTTTCAAAGACCTGGACGGACAAAAGGATGAAGAGAATGGTGTTTATGTTATTTTTGCAGGAGGTAAATTGATTACTCCGTGTTATGGTAAAGGAAGGGAGTCTCAAAACTAAACCTCAAACCAACAGAGGTCTCCACCCCCTGCTAAGTAGCTCTGCAAGTAAATTATTTAAAATGTATTGTTTTTAACCTGGTTAGATGAATATGTTACATAGAACAAACAACATGTGTTTGAGTTGTTCCTTGTCGATGCAGGGGTCTAAGGACATTTATAGACTTTTATAAACATTTATCAGTCATCCCACACCATATGGACTCCTATGTGATATTATTATTGCATTTTCTGTGTTCAGACTATTCGATTATCTGATCTGTAGTCGGAGAATCGCCAACTTTGTAAAGTCCTTGAGATGACTAAGTAAAATAGAATTGAAAATGGTTAAATTCAACACAGAAAAGTGTAACT